TTTAAATTTCAACAATGTAATTAAAATGAGATATTTTAAAGGTATTAACAAATAACTTTCTTACATTTGATGCGTTCGAGGCGATGCTATTTATAGCACTATATTTCTGTTATTTTATCTTCGTTGTTTATTAGGCGTAAAACAAGGATAAAATTACATAAATAGCACCAATAGCGTCTCCCCGAACTTATTACATATCGGTTTTGAATTGTATGAAAGCTCTGTTTTTTTGCATGTGACGATAGATAGCAAGAGTTTTTATTGGATATCGGTCGTCGCTAATTTCTCATTGTATCCAGTGTGCAATAGGCATTAAGGCCTATTCACAGTCGGTTCTTATATTAGATGTAGTAAAAAGAAATCCATTATTTTTGCATGAAATTGAATGGAAAAATAATTTCTTTTTACTACATCTAATATTAGAGATCATCTTAAGTAATGTTCTAAGATATTAATATTGCTTTCTGATTGATTCATGATATCTTAAGACTGTACTTAAGACGATCTTAAATATAAAATCTGACTGTGAATATAGACAGAGAGAAATCTGAATATTAATTTGATAGATTTTAGTTATTTCAGTGATTTATTTTCATCAGGAGCATCACAAAAAATGGATATTGTTGTGTAGTTTATATCCACTTTTTAAGAGGGCAGTAGTACGCGGCGGCATTTTGCGGTTACAGGCAAAAGGCTCTCATGTTCTCTCTCAGGTTTCTCTTTAACCAAACTAGCGCAAAGATTTTCCTATAACCATATTATATATAAAAAATTATTAATAATACTAAGCGCTTATTGCTTATTGCTTATTGCGGATTATAGCCAGATTAAAGATGGCGGTCGAAATAGCCAATAGGAAAGTTGTCGGCATTTCGGTTCAAATAAAAGGATTGCACTACTTCGGTATATCTACAGCTAAACCCTGAATTTTCAGTATAGAAAGTAGCTGCATTACGCTCTATAGTCTACGATCGCGATGATTCTAAAAGACATAAATCTGATTTAGTCATTATAAAGAATATATATATTGTTTTTAAAATAAAATATTCAAAAATATGAGAGAGAGAGAGAGAGCAGCTTTTAAAACAAATAATAAATAATAAATATGATAGAACGTTTGATGAAAAATTTAAAAATGTCAATTACTAGTTCCTGAACAAATCCTTCTCTTTTAAAAGAAATCTTTAGCCATATCTCCAGAATCTTATATGCTGAATGTTCTATTTACAACGTCATAATTATCGAAAATAAGTGGGAATTGAGGAATGATCATTTGGCGTTTCTCATCGCTAGCCAAAAAATGGCTAGACTAAAAAGAAAAACGAGAGATGTCACGTTTTCTATCATGTTTTTAATTTATTTATTTATTTGCTCTTTAATATTTTATAATATCAAAGAACAGATGAACAAATTAAAAATATAATAAATTATTTTATCAAAAAATATTTTTTAATATTTCTTCCACAAGACAAATAAATCCGATAATTCTTGCGATGTCGGTAACACAAAATTAAATAAACAAGCAAAACATATTATTAGATGCAATTATAAGTCTTTTAATTAAGCGTTAGCGCAAATATTCTCTTATTTCAAATATTTTATTGTGACATCATCAGCTCATCAGCTTCCCGCATATCGTTTCGTAATAATTTCTCGGTAATTATCCGATTATCGGGAATAAATGATTCATGATTTCATTTATATTTTATAACTTTTTTATTGAATGAGTCTAACCGTTATCAAGAAACAATGTTGTGTTTGTCGTACATGTTTAAAAACTGGTCTTTATTAAAATTTTTTATGTGATGTAATCAATGATATCAATGTGTTTCTTTCTTTTTTTCATGTTATAATGCGTACTTCCGCGTTGTAAAGAACATACTGCAGGTCTGTTCGTCAAGTTGCAGTTTTGCATTTAATTATTTAGCTTCTTCCTTCTAGTTTGCTCCCAAGTCTGAATATACTTCATATCTCGTTTGTAATACAAGAAGCGCATCCAAAACGGACAGATCCTGCGACATGGACCGATATCAACACTCATGATGCATTTACTGAGCAAACATCTGATTTATCAAAAGCATTGTGCAAGTCGAAATGTGAATCCTCTGATATAATTTAATAACAAAATTCTGCAATAGCGCGTATATATAAATGAATTTATAATATCATCATCATCAATACGTAATACGTAATACATAATCATGTGAACTTATCGATATTCCATATATTATTCACTAATAGAGTTTAGAGGCGCAGCCAATACACCATGAGTCGATATGGTTACATGAAAATATCTTGTTTCGTAACTTTTCCAGGCCTTGGACAAGACGACATTCATAATCCGCAGTCGCGAACTATCTGTTTTGTTCGTAGAGCATTGTAAAATCAAATTATAGGCCTCCTAATGATAGATAAATAGGTATTATAATCTTAGAGCCACAGAGATTTGTAGACGTCTCGTCAGATAATAATAAATTATCTTCTATTATTGCAACGAAAATTCATACAAAATGGCAAATGACATTAGCTGCTAAAAAAAAAAGACATAAAAATTGTCTTCTAATAATACAATATTGCGTACACTTTCTTGATGGTAACATCTACACATTTACCAAATTATGTATAAATTATTGTAGAAATATAATTGAAAAATGTGTCATTAAATTTAATTTATTATCATCTTTTGTAATATAAATGAGATTTTTTTTTATGTTTTTGTAGTTTTTCATGAAATGCCTATAAATCTCTAAGACTCTCATAAACTAAGACGGTGTATCGTATATAATATTTAGGGATATTATTAGCTATAGGTATAGGTAAACATTGCCTATGTACAATCGCAACAGAGTTGCGCATACTACTTCTTGGCAATCCTAAGTAAAGCTTACAGTTTGAATAAATTTCTTTAGGTAATTATGTTTTTTTAATAATTAAGTAATAATTCTATTAGAGAAATAACAGTACATTATTTGACTGTACCTGTTATCGTCGTTCATCAGCCATTTACATGTGACATTCTCTAGTTTAAAGTATCCTCATACATCTCATGTGAGTTTTGGTTCTGAGAAATAATTAGGATAATCATTTTACTATTATATAACTGGCCAATAAGTATCTGCCACTTTTCTTAAATTATTATTCTATTTACCATATATACAAATAATATACAATAGTCGCGCTTAGTACAAGTAATATTAAAATCTAAATCTCAATAATTATAGTAGTTATATGCATAAAAACTTGACTGTGTCTATAATCATTCACTGTGCGCTAGCGTTGCACACTGGTGTGTGTATGTGTGTGTATGTACATATATACACACACACATATTTTTATATAAAATCTGTATAATCTACACGAGTCGCTTTAAGTATATTTTCTCTTTTAATCACAAAAGATACAAATGTTTATAACCACTACACAAGCAGGGGGTCTTGGGCGGTATCACTCTGGCAGTATCTTTTTTAGGTACGGATATCTGATTTACATTCTTAGGAAACAATAAATCAGTTTACCGCTAGATTGTGCAAGAGGATATACAGAATTTATTTTCGCACGCTGAATCGTTGCGAACATAACTATTGTGTAAATAATAAGTTCAAATATATAATTATTTCCGTATATAATAAGCCTGCGTGTACAATTATTCCGCAATATATACATTTCTCTCACAAAAAAATTTTGATTTTTCCTCCTTATATAAAATTTGATTATATACGGACTATACAGTGTGATTTCCTTAAGGCCTTGGGTAAATATTGCTATTAATTTTATGCATAATTTATATCTTTATTATTTATTACTCAACTGACATTTTTCTGGAAACTAATTTATTGATTATGATTGTACTAAAAAGTTTAAGTGTAATGTACAGACATTTATCAATCTAAAATAATAATAGTTCAAAAGTATGTATCACACAATAATTTGGTTATTTATAGCAAGTTGACTCAAAATACGCATATATTGACATATATCAAAATGTGAAAATAAATTCTATATGTGTAAATATTATCTTCAGAAATGATGTATCTTCAGAGATTAGAACATCATAAAATTAAAAATTTGCTATTTTCTTTCTATTTA